ATTGTTTAACAGTGATTGTTACTGTGTCAGTCAAGGTGGGGGTTGTAGAAACCCTACCTGTTAAAAGGTGTAGACTTGCTTATTGGGAATAATTTGGCGGGGAGGAGACATTTGGCTGATTGTTTGTCTTGAGCCTAACATTTCGGAAAGTACTGAAAATCTTGAAAAATAAATTCCGTGTATTTTTCCTTTGTGTGTTGTTACTCGTGCTATGGTTAAGCAAATAACATGACAAAACCCTTTCCATATTCAATGAAAATCTCTGCATAAAGCAGAGTCGATTGTACAATTCCCACCGGTAGCACCCGTCACCTAAAAACACGTGAACAAGCGGCACAAGTCAATATAGGGAATTGCATCGGACATGGGTCAAATTTGGAAATGTCCTCCACATTTCTACCATAAAATCTTTTGAAAGCTTTTCTCAAAGTTCCTCTGAGAATGATTCCAGTTATCATTTGGCTGGGACTTTCACGGATCATTTTGATGACCTGTCTAAATGTTCGAGGGAGAGTACTTAAATTCTGATGACAGTTTGGCTGTTAAGGAACCAGTTCTGGGTAGAGATCATTTAATTAAATCAGAGAGGGAAAATTCAACAAAGTTCCAGTTTGCTATTATTTCAAGGACACTGTTTTGATGAGGAAATGGAGGCCTGCTGATCAAATTGTTTTCCATCAAGTTGTTCTTCCGTTTTCAAATCGAAAACAAGTTTTGAGTGACAAACTTGTGACAAAATTATGTCTTATTTCATTTGTCCTAATTCAATATACCTTCTCAGGACAAAATGAAAGTACATTGTGACCTAAAAGTCTCAAGAGAGACGTTTCAGTCCTGGCAATCACTGATCAATGTACCACGGTCTGTATGTTATTGACAGAAAAGTCAGTGATTCTGACTATGTTGTACAAACACCAGACGGTCGTTAAAAGACTTCTTCATATCAATATGATCAGAAAGTATCATGAAAGAAATCACAATGCGCCTAATCAGTGTGATGCCACAGTTTCTCCTTTGCATATTGCATCAGATTGTGATACTGATGTGAATTGTGACTTTGTCAAGTGTGATGACATTGCGGACTATGCTAGGCGTATGCTAGACAATTCAGCTAACTCTGGATACTAAGTTAAACCTTTTAAATTCTGAGCAAAAGGCTGAAGTATCAGAGTTAATTGTTTGCTCACTTGTTCACGGATGTGCCTGACCGTACAGATTTAGTGTGTCATGATGTAGATGATGATGATGCTGTGCCTATGAAACAACATCCCTACCAATCCAGCTTGAAGCTTATTTAAGTATAACACTGATGACAGACTTTTGTTGTCTTTGCAAGAATGTGATTTAGACAACATGCATATCAAAGGCAAAGACAGCGGTATTGCGGATGGATTATCCTGAGTTGATTTAATGTGATCAGTTTAGAACCAAGGTGCATTATTAGGATACTTGGAGGATGTATTCGTTGTAGCTGAATCATGATATAATTCCATTGAGGTCCATCTATGTCATGCCCCTTACCAAACCAGTGGATTCACAGTCCCAACTGCGTTAGATCTAGATGGATTCTTAGTTTAAGCAGGGCTTGTCTGTGTGCCCAATATAACCTACTATCTATTCATATAAATAAACGGTTCAACGTTGACAAAGGGAACATAGAAACAGACAGGTGTGTAACCTCGTGCCTGCAATTCGCTACACATGTCATGTAGCTGGTTACATAGCCATGATACACTGTGCACAGGTTATTTGGGGCCTATTGCTGGTAAGAAGAGTAAACGTTCGACCACTGTCTCTCCCCCTGCTGTATTGTGTCAACAGGAACACATATCCGCAGCTGTTGTTGCAGCACCGATCCGATGAGTGGGACTTATAGGGCCCATACCTAAAATATTGTTAGATTGTGATACCATTGCAGAATACGGATATCCTGTTCATAAGTTCATACGTCTGTTCATACGTCATAAGTCAGAACCATTAGGCCTTGCAGCTAAATACTTGAACTTTCATCAGTGTCTGTCCCAGATGGAACTGGTTGGATGCTGAACCGAGTGGAGAGCATCGCTGTGCTTGATGTTTGTTTTCACAGTTGGAGCAGATGTCGCAAAATGTGCACCTTTGTCGATATCACTGGCTTTGGTTGAACTGATTGCATGTGAGGACAAGACGTAGGAACTGACCGTGAAATGAGCTTCCATACTTTGATTGATCACCGTGTTTGCACGAAAATGAACTTGGACTTTCCTAGATATATGGGGTGTGCACATACGACATCTACAAGATTCCTCTTGCCCTGCACGCGTGGCCCAGTTGCAAAGGCGCCGCGATTCGCCGTGCAGAGTTGCGTCCTTTGGGGCACGCCAGAAACCTATGATTGTGGGTTCGAATCCCGGTTCGCCCCGATTATGTTTCTAGGTTTGTCAGCACCATACCCGTGCTCGTGGGTTTCACCGAAGTGGTAAACGCCTGAGACCTGCATCACTTCGGGCTTTCCCCCCACATCAAGCTGACACGCCACAGTAAGCTGGAATACTATTAAAAGCGACATTAAAGCCAACTCACTCACTCACAAACTCAGTTTTGCCCTCATAGGTTTGCTGGATTGTGTGCCTGACATAATCTGAATTGTTCAACTTACACTCTGACGGACAGGAGCTTGATATTCATGGTATTCATATACAGTAAACGGACACGTTCATAGCGAACAGACGGATATAACGAACTGTTTTTATTAGTTGAAAATTATCAAGTGTGTTTCAGTGATATAATGCCTATCTATGTGTAAACTAAACAGATTGCAGTCAACATTTAGAAGAGTTTGTGTAGATACTGTAAATCATGAAATGAATGCGGCAAGAATATATCAGTAAAAATGATAAGAAAGCTAGTCCTATGATTAATTATTTGAAGAAGAGTACCGCTTGAGTTCGGGAAAACGCTGGAAACAATGTATTTATCTATTATTTTGCTTGTACTAACTTACCACTTCAATATATGGGATAGTTTTATATCTCTTGAACTACTTTTAGAGACGCTTCATCTTGATGCCTTGAGAACAATATGTCGTGCAACACGTGGTGCAAGCCACTGGTCTACAGCCTTTTAGGAAAACAAGAGAAGCCAAGAAACTATGTTTATATTACAAAATGATAAATCCGAATCTAATCCGGTCATAAAGTGGGTAAGTGGTGAGTGGTATATACAAAGAACATAACCCCCAAACAGTATTCAATGTCACAGTACTGCAACTGTCTGAAGAGCACTGAAAACATCATCCATCAACATTTCGCATATCTAAGGTGTCATCCAAGATGGGAACCCAGGAACTTCAGCCTGCAAGGTCTCCACCATGTAATAACTCAGACGAAACAAAGTTTATATATGTTTGGTAACGGGTAATGAGGCGTAGGTTCATCATTGCATCAATTCAATGTAAACACCCAACATTTTCTGCACCTAAGACATTTCGGAGTTGTATCTTACAATCAAACTTATTAACAAATCCGAAACAACATTTACAAGAACAATTTTATGTTTTCAACATACGATCCATGATCCTTAGGAAACAGGCGTAAAATATATCTGATTGGTGTACAAGTAAAGTCTATTTGCCTACAGAGTACTGGCATTCTCGTCCACGTGGATCCTACGAATTTTCTCAGGCTGTCTATCGAGGATTGTGGCATATGAAGGTCGCTGTGTGTGATGGTTTGGTTTGGTTTGCTCGAACGGGTCATCACCAGGATAGCATCTGCGATCATTTATATAAAGTCTGTCAGCTGTAAGACTTGCCTTTAGACCTCGTCGTTTAGCTTCCTTGAAGACGCATCGTGTGTTCCCTGTTCATCATGTTACAGTATTATCATTCTGTTGTCATTACTTAACCTATTCATGTTAATCTCTCTCATGTTTGCAATTGTTTTTACTGTTAATCCTCCAACTACTATATATATTCTGGACCTTGTTCATTAATTCAGTCTTGCTTGACAACGGCATAAGGATCTATAACAAAACGTCGCCTTTAAGTAAAAAAAGAAGTTGTTATCCATTAATTGTGCCTACTTTGAAATCGGTTTCAGATTGCAACTTTGGCTGTCAGCAGCATCCCTGGGTTATGTCTGATTAGCGCTGTAAGGCTTGACTGTAAGGAATCGATAACGGGAGCATAAAAAAACGACAACGACATCTAGGTGTACGTCACTTTGCTGCCACGTCACTGAACTTCACGCCTGACATGGTCAATCAAAAGTTGAGATTACAAGGATCGGCTGTTAGTCCACTTCGCAGATGAGTGCAGGTTTCTTGACAGCATCGAAGCAATGATGGCTGTCAGCCTGTTCATCGACGTAGGATGGAGCGTTAACCAGACGTTCAACGTTCTGCATCCCGTAATGCGGGGAACCATCACTGCACATCACATGACCTCTCAGGTGGTGTTCGCTAGAAATGTGAACAGGTACACCGTACCGTGATTAACTTATCCGTTAACCCTCAAGCCCCCCCCCCCCCCGTTCCCTCAGATCCATGGACGTCACATCACTTTACATCAGTGTGGGATAAAAGCAGCGCCGGTTACTTCCAAGCCAACCAGGGAAGTTGGTCCAGCTACGTACGATAGGCCTCTGTTTTAATGTTTCACTGACATCAATATATTGTTTTGTTTCAATGTCGTTCTTTGTTTGTGTTGCTTTATTATTTCCCATGATAGTCATGATCAGTCATGTAGCGGAATTTTAAAAAAAGTATATCAGGCAACAGAGTATGTAATCTACCATATGTTGATCCCAGAGTGGCGGATTGACGTCTCAGGTTTACAACTAAGGTATTACAACTGAATGCTTCCCAAAGCAGATACTATTTAATATATAATATAATATAATAACCAGTGCATCTGTGAACTAGATGTGATTAAGACGTCAGTGATGTATTCAGAACGTGTCAACTCGGGCAGCCTGGTCCGACGACCCCCTGGTATCGCCCCTACGGTCACGGGGGTGGACTCTCCCTCGCTATCGGAGTGTATATACAGGTTGCCAGTCAGTGTCTGGCTCTACTCGGTCAGCTAAGGTTTATCATGTTGCTGTTGGTCGTAGCTCTCATCGTTCCTGCCCTGGGGGCCCGCACAGGATTCACAGACACCGGCACTATAGAGTGGAGGGACTGTGGTATGTAAAGTGCGTGAGCGACTTCATATTTTCTCGTCGCAACGTCAGCAATATATAATATATCAATGATCGTCGGTTCGTTTCCAAGATTTGCCCTGAGTACGATTCTTGTTGTGTCAGCTGCATATCCATGTCCTGAGTGATGACGTCTTAAACCTGCAGACCTTACACGCCTAAAACCTGCAGACCTTCGAGGCTTCCCTTACACGCCTAAAACCTGCAGACCTTCGAGGCTTCCCTTACACGCCTAAAACCTGCAGACCTTTGAGGCTTCCCTCCCAGGTCTAAAACCTGCAGACCTTCGAGGCTCCCCTTCCACCTAAAAACTACAGACCTTTGAGGCTTCGAGGCTTCCCTCCCACGTCTAAAACCTACAGACCTTCGAGGCTTCTCTCCCACGTCTAAAACCTACTGACATTTGAGGCTTCCCTCCCACGTCAAGCTGACATACCGTCATATAATTGAAATAGTATTTAAAGGGACGTTAAACTTTCTTCACTCAGAAATATTGTGGACGCTGACCATATGTTTTGAGTGAGTGAGTTGGGTTTAACACCGCTTTTAACAGTATTCCAGTTAGATCACGGCATGTCAGCTTAGTGTGGGGGGAAAGCCCGAAGTTATGCAGGTCTCAGGCGTTTACCACTTCGGTGAAACCCACGAGCACGGGTATGGTGCTGACAAACCTAGAAACATAATCGTGGCGAACCGGGATTCGAACAAAAAAACCATAGGTTTCTGGCGTGACCAAGGGACGCAACTCTGCACAGCGAATCGCGGCGCCTTAGACGACTGGGCCACCCGTGCCCCCATATGTTTTGAAAAAACAGCATATTATCATCGAGATGATAAAGAAACTCATCAACGAACATATATATACAACCCCGTAATTGATTGTGTTTTACTGTTAGAAATCATTAACAATAAAATTGATCATATCTGTATCAAATAGTCAGAATCTATTGAAATCACACAGATGAAATCTTTGATTTAACCGCTTCGATTATGTGAACATGTCTACGTCTGTTTGAGCCTACATGCCGTAAAGCATGTCTCGATATGTTATGTGTACATGCCTGAGTCCAACTGAATCTATATGCTTCAAGGCATGCCTCGATATGTTATGTGTACATGCCTGAGTCCAACTGAATCTATATGCTTCAAGGCATGCCTCGACATGTTATGTGTACATGCCTGAGTCCAACTGAATCTATATGCTTCAAGGCATGGATCGATATGTTATGTGTACATGCCTGAGTCTATCTGAGTCTATATGCTTCAAGGCATGCCTCGATATGTTATGTGTACATGCCTGAGTCTATCTGAGTCTATATGCTTCAAGGCATGCCTCGATATGTTATGTGTACATGCCTGAGTCCAACTGAATCTATATGCTTCAAGGCATGCCTCGATATGTTATGTGTACATGCCTGAGTCCAACTGAATCTATATGCTTCAAGGCATGGATCGATATGTTATGTGTACATGCCTGAGTCTATCTGAGTCTATATGCTTCAAGGCATGCCTCGATATGTTATGTGTACATGCCTGAGTCCATCTGAGTCTATATGCTTCAAGGCATGCCTCGATATGTTATGTGTACATGCCTGAGTCCAACTGAATCTATTTGCTTCAAGGCATGCCTCGATATGTTATGTGTACATGCCTGAGTCCATCTGAGTCTATATGCTTCAAGGCATGCCTCGATATGTTATGTGTACATGCCTGAGTCCATCTGAGTCTATATGCTTCAAGGCATGCCCCGATATGTTATGTGTACATGCCTGAGTCCATCTGAGTCTATATGCTTCAAGGCATGCCTCGATATGGTATGTGTACATACCTGAGTCCATCTGAGTCTATATGCTTCAATGTATGCCTCGATATGTTATGTGGTCATGTCTATCTTGAGTAGCTGCATGCAATCTATACAAATTACTTACAACGACAAATGTTTAAACCATCCTTGTTTTCCTTGATTCTGAAAAAGATATAATTATGTTATTTGTGTCTCCATGTCAGGTGTTGGCGACTCCTGGGTTTCTGTGAAGCAGTTCGACATCAGCCCCACTCCCCTCAAGCTTCCCGGAGATATAACTGTGTCCTTTGATGGAACTATCAGCCACGATATCGCTGACCAGATCACACTGGACGTTCTCATGGAGAAGAAGCTGCTCGGGACTTTCATAATGGTGCCCTGCCAGATTAATGTCGGCACATGGTAAGTGTTGAGCAAGTCAGATGTTTGAACATGGTAAGTGTTGAGCAAGTCAGATGTCGGCATATGGTAAGTGTTGAGTAAGTCTGATGTCGGCACATGGTAAGTGTTGAGTAAGTCTGATGTCGGCACATGGTAAGTGTTGAGTAAGTCTGATGTGGGCACATGGTAAGTGTTGAGCAAGTCAGATGTCGGCACATGGTAAGTGTTGAGCAAGTCAGATGTCGGCTCATGTAAGTGTTGAGCAAGTCAGATGTCGGCTCATGTAAGTGTTGAGCAAGTCAGATGTCGGCACATGGTAAGTGCTGAGTAAGTCTGATGTCGGCTCATGGTAAGTGATACGCAAGTCAGATGTTTGCACATGGTAAGTGTTGAGTAAGTCTGATGTCGGCACATGGTAAGTGTTGAGCAAGTCAGATGTTGGAACATGGTATGGGTTGAGTAAGTCAGATGTTGGCACATGGTTATTAATGAGTGAGTGAATGTATTTGACGCTGTTTTGAGCGGTGTTTCAGTAACAACATGGCGTGCACAGCGAATTTCGGCGCCTTAGACGACTGTGTGGAACGAGTGTTTAGAATTGTAATGGGGAATAGAGAGCAACAGTGTCAGATGAGTAGTTTAGTACAAGTTATGTAGAGCCCTGTTGTCACCGTAGTGGCATCCCAGTATACAGAGGAGGGTATGTCGCCCTGCTGGAGATGAGGACCAAGAGGATAGCAATGTTGAAGACACAGTTTAAGAAAGTGACAGCATACCTCTGCAGGAATTAGGTCTTTTGAGAAAATGATAGACGATATATTATAGCCGTGCCAGAACGCATATCAAGCATCTTACACATACGCCAACAAATACACAATGGGCGGAAACATGTTCTCGTACTTTGAAACTCGCACATACATTATGCGAGTGGAGTTTCCAGCTGAGACTAACATGTGGTGTTGTTGTTGCATTAAGGGTTTAAGAGGTCGCCTTCTGCCTAATCAGTTTCGGCTGACCTGTCCCTCTTTGGCACTCCTGTGTGTGACTAGGGTATATATCTATTGTGAGTTTGGTATTCATGTCATTTCTGTTTTTGTATTGATATGATTTCTATTTCCGTCTATTGATATAATTTCATTTTATCTTTGGCTGCTCTGTTTATATACGTCCATCTCTCAGAAATAGAGTTAGTTTGGCCTTCGCTATTGCATCTCTTGGCTTTAGGAGATCTATGACAGATAGCGGATCTAACTGCAATTCACATACCAATGAACTGAGCCGAATCTCCAGATGAGGCTAAAGTGAATTGAGAAAGTTACCATGTCAGATTAAAAAGGGGTGAATTGAGTTTTTACTGTTAAAATTGAAATGGATACTTGGGGATGCGTTACAATGAAAGTGTATACTAGTGGATGCGTTACAATGAAAGTGTATACTAGTGAGTGCGTTACAATGGAAGTGTATACTAGGAGATGCGTTACAATGTAAGCGTATACTAGTGGATGCGTTACAATGAAAGTGTATACTAGGAGATGCGTTACAATGGAAGTGTATTCTAGGAGATGCGTGACAATGGAAGTGTATACCAGTGAATGCGTTACAATGGAAGTGTATACTTGTGGATGCGTTACAATATAAGCGTATACTAGTGGATGCCTTACAATGAAAGCGTATACAAGGAGATGCGTTACAATGGAAGTGTATACCAGTGAATGCGTTACAATGGAAATGTATACAAGGAGATGCGTTACAATGGAAATGTATACCAGTGAATGCGTTACAATGGAAGCGTATACTAGGGGATGCGTTACAATGAAAGTGTATACTAGGGGATGCGTTACAGTAGAAGTGTATACTAGGAGATGAGCTACAATGAAAATGTATACTAGGGGATGAGCTGCAATGGAAGTGTATACTAGTGGATGCGTTACAATGGAAGTGTATACTAGTGGATGCGTTACAATGAAAGCGTATACTAGTGGATGCGTTACAATGAAAGTGTATACTGGTGGATGCGTTACAATTGAAGTGTATACTAGTGGATGCGTAACAATGAAAGCGTAACTAGTGGATGCGTTGCAATGAAAGTGTATACAAGTGAATGCGTTACAGTGGAAGCGTATACTAGGAGATGCGTTACAATGAAAGTGTATACTAGTGAATGCGTTCCAATGGAAGTGTATACTAGTGGATGCGTTATAATGTAAGCATATACTAGTGGATGCGTTAAAATCAAAGTGTATACTAGTGAATGCGTTACAATGGAAGTAACACGTCCCATTTTAATTCTGGAAACCCAAAAGTCCAGAAACTCTACGGTCTTTGCCGACTCTCGGTCAAAGGTATTTACAAAATTAAACATGCTGTTTTCATGGGAACATACCAAGGAAGACAAAATGAAAAAAAATTTGTTAAAAAACTCAATATTTACACTATCTCGCCCATGGGCCTGCCTTTACTCAAAACTCATGTTTTTGTTTCGCAAATACATTAAATGCAGTCATTCAAGTATCATGACACAAAATGTAACTCATTTTAACTTAATTCAACTATTTTATAGCGATATTGAAATATTTCGCCCATGGGCGAGAAAAAGGTTTGGCCCATGGGCGAGAATATGTTCCTTTACTTAAAACTCATGTTTTTGTTTCGCAAATAAACTGAAGTACAAAAGAAAGTACACACCCCACTATTCTGACAGTAAAAGAAGACAGGGCAAACTTTATTGTGATTGTAATGTTTAATGCCATTGTTGAGTCATTTTCAAACATGTTTAGAATGGATTTAAAGATTTGAGGCCACATAAAACTTTTCAGTTGACAATAACGTCCATAGGCGGTCACTCATCAAAAATCACACTTGTAGAAATGATGACAGTCCCAGGTATGAAGGCCATGCGAGTGGTCTCAGTACCTCGTTTGACCCCCATTTGAGTTAATGCAAGCCAGGACACGCCTTCTCATGGAAAAGGTCAACCGTCGGATGACGTCATTAGGGATCCGCTGCCACTCTTCTCGCAGAGCCTGTTCCAGCTGTGGTATGGTGGTTGGTGGCTGTGCACGTCGTCGCAACTGTCTACCGAGATGGTCCCACAGGTGTTCAATGGGTGACAAGTCCGGAGAGCGTGACGGCCAAGGCAAAAGCTGAATGTTCTGACGGTTCAGGAAGTCCATAGTGAGTCTAGCGGTGTGTGGTCGGGCGTTATCTTGCTGAAAAAGAAACCCCTGCCTTTGCCCCTGCATGAAGGGGATCACCACCGGCTGTAACACTTGGTCCCTGTACCTCTGGGCTGTCAGGGTCTGGTGGAGAATGACCAAATCCGTCTTCTGTTCGCCGCAAATGCCTCCCCAAACCATAACGCTGCCTCCGCCAAAAGGATGAACTTGTTGGACACATGCTCCAGCCAGTCGCTCGCCTCTACGTCGGTAGACTCTCACTCTACCGTCAGCATGGTAGAGGTTGAATCGACTTTCATCGGTAAAGAGGACTCGTGACCAGTCACGACGTTGCCAGCGTCTGACTCTTCTTTCCCAGCGAAGACGTCTGATACGGTGTTGAGCGGTCAAGGTCATCCCACGGAATGGTCGATAAGCCCGGATACCGGCAGCTCGTAGTCGTCTCATGACTGTGTTCCTGCTGATGTGGTGACCTAACGCTGTCGACGCTGTTGATGCCATGGTGAGGAACCTGTTGCACAGGTGTAATGTGCGTATGTACCGGTCTTCTGCAGGGGTCGTCACTCTCGGTCTTCCTCTTCTTGGGCGGTCGGATGTCTGGCCAGTCTGGTTGACACGACGAAGGAGTCTGATAATGGTTTGCCTGGTGCAGCCAAGGGTCCTTGCGATGTGACTGTTCGACGCCCCCACTTGGGACATTCCCACGGCTCTCTCTCGCTCCGCTGCTGTTAAACGTGGCATTTGTCTTGTGTTTTTTTCGTTGAATGTGTAATGAACGATAGAATCCACTGCCTTTTTATACTGTTTCTACGCATATTGCACGTGCAAATAGAGAAAATTGCCATTTTCACAATGTGTGCTTTTGTTGCCTATCATAATGTCAAGGTTACGTTTCTGCGATATGCTCTCAATGGTGTTGTTCATTACATTACGATAGCGCCAAAAATGTAACAACTTTTTCAACCATATGCGTAATATATGATATTTTAGGGGTGTGTACTTTCTTTTGTACTTCAGTTTACATTAAATGTATTCATTCAAGTATCAAGACACAAAATGTAACTCATTTTAACTTAATTCAACTATTTTATAGCGATATTGAAATATTTCGCCCATGGGCGAGAAAAAGGTTTGGCCCATGGGCGAGAATATTTTCCCTCACTCAAAACCTATGTTTTTGTTTCGCAAACACATGCAGGTGTTCTTACCATTTTCATGGCACATAATGTTACTCAATTTTACTTAATTCAACTATGTTATAGCGTTATTGAAATATTTCACCGATGGGCGAGAAAAGGTTTGGCCCATGGGCAGGCGCATGGGCGAGATTATTTCCCTTTGCTCAAAACTTGTGTTTTAGTGTCGCTTATACATAGTTCTTATAAGTTTCATGTCACATAATTTAACAAATTTTAACTTAATTCAACTTTTTTACGGCGTTATTAAAATATTTCGCCCATGTTTTTGTCAGTCCCTTTAAAGCTTCAACTAACTGTGTGCAAAGTATACTGTATCATGTGAAATATTCTTTATATTATATCATTACATTACTATTTAAAAAGGGCATTTGGTTGGATGTTTCCTTTATAGAAGTTCTACAAATTTCACCTGTTTTACATATTGTAGCGATCTTTAATGAATCCGGCCTTACCTCTCAAAACGTTTTGACAGTTTATGATACGAATTCATGTGCGTGTACTCCAATTCATTGGAGTTATTTTCCACAACATTAACGTTTAGTTAGTTTCTATTTCATTTCCCATTTCATGAATGAATGAATGAATGAATTTCTTTATTTCCTCCAGAGTTGAATCCGAAGATTTTACATGGGCAAGTACATTATTT